GTATATAAAGACGATCACTGACTGTATATAAAGACGATCACTGACTGTATATAAAGACGATCACTGACTGTATATAAAGACACTGACTGTATATAAAGACCATCACTGACTGTATATAAAGATGATCACTGACTGTATATAAAGATGATCCCTGACTGTATATAAAGAATATTAAATGTATATAAAGAGCGTGTGTGTGTATAATTCATTACATCCATAGTTCATCTTCAGACAGGTCTGGTTGACATTATCGATGTCGTGGTGGTGAAGCCAGTTTTCGTAGTGAAAGTTGGAGCCGTCAGTCCACAACCAATGACCGGGCTGAGGACAGAAACACAAATATACACACGTCAGTAAATTGTACGGCTGTAAAATGATTGGAAATATGAGCTGCAGGGTTTTGATGATGTATAAATCCTCCTTCAGGACGTTTCTTATTACAAAAGTACAATGTTCATGATAAATCTACGTCACACCAGGTGAGTGATCTGTGGAATTAAATCACATTTCCATACAATCACGGGAGCAATGCCACCGATCCAGGTCTGAGGGAAGTGGTGGGTCTCTCCTCTGGTCAGAGACATGATGAAGTGATTCTCCTCGTAACTGTGGATCGACGCCAGGTTGGCTCCTTCGAACTGACAGTAAATCTGGAGGAGACACGAGAGGAGGTCTGAACACTAGGACATGAACAGTGTGACATGCAGGGGGCGCTAGACGTGTCCACTCCTCTTGTCCTCACCTCAGCTTCAGCCCACATCTTCGGGGTGTCGATGAACATTAAACACCTTTCTGCGTAGTTGCTCCAGCCGTTGGGGCAGTAGTGCCCCCTGCCTGCAAAGGTGTGCAGCACATTTGATCAAATGTTGAATATAATCAACACTTTGATGCAGGTTTGTATTTTATAGATTTGTCTCATTATTATTGAAATACATCAAATAACCTATAACCTCAAAGCATCAACATTAACCTCAACTGATGGGAAATGATCAAAACTCTAATGTATCATCGTATTAAGATGGTTTACTTTAGTAAAAGTAGAAATATTAAAGACCCAAACACAAAAGTACCAAAAGTAAAAGGAGACAGAATTGTCCCTGAGTTTAAGTTGGATCTTAGATAAAATGTAAATGTGTCTGTAAACTTTAAGCCTCACCACAGTCCACAGGCTCCATCCCCGGCCCGGTCTGCGTGTTCGGTATCTCCACCCCGGTGATGACGTTGACACACCAGCAGTACCCGGTGGAGGGCGAGCACTGCTGCGGGAGGAAGTACCCGCTGGCGTCGCACTGCGGGCAGAAAGACCCGAGGAGGCCGGAGCACCGCTCCCTCTCGTACTGACACAGGCCGACGTACTTGGTCACAGACATGGTGGAGTTGAGCGGGACGGACCGGGCCGGGGTCAGAAGGATGCAGAGTGTGACACACACACCGAGCACCTTCATCCTGCTGGTGATGAAGACGATGGTGATGACGAAGAGGGAGTCTTTAAAAAAAAAAACACACAGGAGACAAAGAAGTGAAAACCTCGTTAACGTCATAAACTCAGCGGATGATCACTGAAGTCACAGATTAACTTTGATTCTTTATTCGAAGTGAACCTGCAGAGACTCACACAGTCACAGAGTTTACAGAACGAACGGCAGTGAAAGAGAAGAGTTAGATTAATATTAGATGTAGAACGATTCTGTGTAAAACACTGAGCGGAGTATTCCAGATTAAATGAGGGTGACATCATCTGCACCTTGAAGAGACATTGACAGTTTAACTCGCATGTATTTTAAAGTCGTGGCTGAAACTGACAAAGAACTAAAAACATTTGTTTGTACAATTCTAATAAAATCCTGATTTTAGAAATATAAATATTTGCGTGGAGAGAAGGAAGGATTGAAGGAGACATTTAAACAGACACGGCCGCTCACGAGGTGATATCATCGTTAATGGACTCACCAAGGATCAGCTGTTGTTCTGAGTCAGAGCTGCTCCTGCGTCAGGATCTCCTCTCGTCCTGTATTTATCTGGTGTCAGCAGATAATCACGATGAGTTTTACTTTACACAGTCTGTCTCTTCTTTGTTCCCGGCGGCTCATTGTGTCGTTTCCCAGAACATCGGTTTGTTTCCTGTAACTTTAGCATCAAAAGAAATATAGAAAAGACAGAAACGTGAAAATGACTCTTATTTTCCACAAGTGTTTTGTGCTGATCTGGGTTACAGACGGTTTCAACACCGACACCGTCGGGATCGTGTGTTAATATCCAACAACGCCAGCTGCAAAATGACTTGATGGTTTATAAAACTTCATGAATTCTCTTTCTTCAGCAGAGTCTCACATTTCCATTCAGATTAAATGTGGTGAGAAAACACGTTTCAGGTTCAGTGAGCTCACGTGCACAACAGTGATGGTTTCAGTGATTTATGGTTCAGGCTTTTATCAGTCAGTTCCTGAGATTAGAGCTTTACTTCTTCCTTTGTCTCTTATCTTTACCTCGGCCCTGTTGTCCTGTTCACGAGACACGTCCAGCACGGACCTGAAGAGACACAACTCAGGTCAATGAGAAATGGTCGTTCAGTCATTTAAATGCAGTTTAACGGGAACTTGCTCATTTTCATTTAGTTTAAATTGCAGGTCGCTGTTACGAAGGTGAAGTGATGGAGGTTCTGTCTCCTCTGGATCACGGTCCAGTTGCTCTCTTTCCAAAAGAGAATCTGAGAAGCTGTTTGTGAGAAGAGTCTTTATGACCAGGACAAAGAGGAAGTGTTGACCTGAGGCAGACAGAGCAGACGTATGTAACACAAACTCCTTACAAGATAACACAACAACGAGCCGTCGAGACAAACAGTGTTTGAAGGATAAGATCATCTGTGGACACACACAATGATTTCAGTCTTTTAAAAGCTGTTGGCACAGGTTCCCTCCTGAGAGTTCATGTCATGCTCACTACCTCTTCTCACTTCCTCTGTGAACCTTCATAAAGAACTATCTTTATCTGTGGTCTTTGTCACTTTGAATCCTTCCACCTCACTGTCGGGAACCTCGGCCAAACAGGAGAGGTAAGAAACGAACTGAATCCTCCAACAAGACGTGAAACCTATTCAAAGCTTTTTACTGCAGCAGTCAAAGTCTTTTCTCATCCATGTTGTGATTTTGTTGCTCTGTCCTCACCTCCGTCTGTCCTCACCTCCGTCTGTCCTCACCTCCGTCTGTCCTCACCTCCGTCTGTCCTCACCTCTCTGTCTCTGAGGCCTCCACAGGTTTATATTTATGTTTCTTCATGAGGACCATTCAAACTAGTCTGAAGAGACTCTACGACAGATGTCGCTCGACTTGTTTCCTTGTGACGCTGACTCACTGACGGGGAAACTGCACATAAACAATTTGTTTCAAAGTCTCAGTAAAAGTTTGAAGACTTCCTCTTTTATCAAATTCCACTTCCTCCATGACGTTGCTCCTCCTCTTTGTCTTTCTTCAGTATGGGACAGCAGATGATCCCTCTCTTCACCCTCCTCCCCCTCCTCCTCTCCCTGTGCGGGGGTCAAAGTTCGAACCCCGGGAGACCCTCCTGCCGGAACTGTGACCTGCACCTCAGCTGTGACTGCTCCCGTGGCCAATTCACCCACGTTCCCATAGTAACCAGCCGCGCACTTACTCTGGATCTGTCCTTCAACAACATCACCATGGTGACCGATGTCGACCTGACGGGCCACGAGCGACTGAGGACTCTGAGTCTCCATGGTAACGCCCCCAGAATCAAACCAGAAGGAACGAGCTGACTGTACAATGACGACTGACACACCAGTGACAGTCTGTGGGCGTCGCTGCTAATATTAGTGTAACATCACAGATGACGACTCATCAGCTGACGTACATGAGAAACAAACGTCACTGATTTAACACGTTTGTATCAAGACAGAGAAATGAAATCAAGGTTGAATGTTTTACAGTTTAACCATAAACTCAAAATCACAAAGATATGAAGATGGAATGAGAACATCTGGTGTGCATGTTCTGTGAAAGTCTCAGTGGATGTTCATCGACCGACCCTCTGACCCCTCTGCAGGAAACAGAGTAGCTGGGATTCAACCGGCAGCGTTCGACTCCCTCTGGAGTTTGGAGGAGCTCGACCTGTCCCACAATCAGCTGACGTCTCTGAAGCCCGACTGGTTCCAGGAGCTGGGGGCGCTGCTGCGTCTCAACCTGCTCCACAACCCGTACAGGTGAGGGGGGGGGGGGG